GGTTTTCCATTGGAAGGAGTTGGAATTAAAGGCATATTAGGTACGTTTTGCGAGGCGACAACAGCGTAAGTATTGCTTTTTCTAATTCTTTGGGTTCCAGATGGTTTATTTTCCGGTACTTGCATCGCACCTCGCCCATGCTACAGTAATTTTCTGTTTTGACTTTTAGAATTTCACGCAAATGTATAAAACGTGGGCATTGTTTGTCTAACTGCGAGTGTTGATCGTTGCAATTTAAGCAGAAGCTACGCGTACAGCTTTCAGCATGTGGAGGAAGACCACAGTTAGCACAAATTGGAGAACTGGTGCATCTTTTTGCCGTATGACCCAGGCGTTGGCAGTTTTTACACCTCATAGGATTTGGAATGTAGAATTTTACTTTACATTTATACCAAGCTACATCAACAGTTGGCGGTAACCGATAGTCGTCAACAGTCAAAATAATCCCTCCTGTAGGGGAGCGGGTTTTTTCATCGTGCATAGTGCATTTTCCATTTTTGTATCGTGCATCAAGCATGGGGCATAAACTACGCCTTTAACCGAGTTCAGTTTGTCATGCAGTTTAGCGAAAATAGCACATAAATTAGCTAATGATTTCGATTTTATGAGGTTTTCGGTTGCGCGCGGTTGCCCAGCAAGGACAAGTAAATTCCCATCACGTAGAATCGAAATAGAGTCTATCTATGTTGCAATGCTATCTAGTGCTTTTTTAATAGCAAAAGGGCTGATTTGTGAAATTGTTATGGTAGGAGCAGTTGAAGAAATCACAACATATTTTATTTGTTAACAGGAATGATGTTACTGCTTGGCAACACCGGAAAGTCCGAATTTTTAATTGTTTTTTCTTTGGGGGTATACGTCCCCTAATGTATGAAATCTATATGTGTTTTTATCTGGCGGCCCCGGAGCCATTATGCCTTATGGTTGTCTATTAGTAATTTGTGAAATAACCGTACACTTGAAAAGGTTTGCGAACTACTGAGGATAATGACAATTGTTTTTAATATTTTATTTCTGTCTTTTTGGATATTTTATTATATTCAGAGGAAACAAAAGCAAATACGGTATCAATAAAACCAGAATATAGATAATTTGATTCATTTAAAAATTATAATTAAAATATTCAATACGACGAGGTTCAAACTTAATATTTATGATCGGATTCATGTTTCGTAAATTATAGTTCTATCAATCGCAGCTTACATACGTTCTCTTGCCTATGAAAACTCTTACATTCAGGAGTAAAGTGGAAATGCTGTGGCATGTTCGTGGTTTGAAGTTCGAAATTTGTCTGCAGAAATGAAGGATAGAAGAATTAGTCAAATTAATTTTCATACATTTACCTTCGTTGATGAATGATCAGGATTCCAACATAGTATTTTCATTCCATTTTCTTTTTTAGTTAAGCTGCAAAATTTGTGAACATAACACGGATTCCTGTTTCACAAGGATTCATAATTGTAGAAATCAAATGGAAATCATAAATACAACGGCAGTCACAGAGACACAGAAAACAAAAGGTCATTAATGGCTTATAATTATACGCTCACATGGCTTAAGAGTTCAACTAATTACTTTTTTTATTTTATTACGCTATTTTCAGATTATTTTAAATATCGACAACTTCGAGTTAATAAATTACCTAGCGCCGGTTTCAAAAAAACCACTGAGCGTTTTTTCCTCGCCGATGTCAAGGCAAATGCCGAAAAATTTACTCTATCGTCTTCTGTGACTTCCACCGATGTGCGTATACTGCCGAATAAGATTTCAGCACAGCATATTTACTCCAATCCCTGCTTAGAAGGACCTAGTTCGACCGGTGCAAACCAAACATCACTTTTATCCACACAACCAGCACCATTAAGAAATTTACTAACATCATCGACTATTCCTGTTTCATCCACACTAGTTCAAAATAACTTTTTGGCTGCCTCCGATGAAAAGCAACTTATTCAAAACACACATTCAAACTTCGAAGCTGTAGCTGCCAATAGCAGTGTTAGAAATTCGGGCAAAGGCTCTACCGCTACACTTTATGTGCCAATTATTGCTACCGGCACCAGCTTGACGCAACCAGTTATGAAATACCACACTATACAATTGTCGCATATGAAGCCATTCGACTCCCCTTCACATATGACGAATGCTTCAAATAATAACGTAAATTGTTATGAAGAAATTGAACTACCTCATCCAAAGCCCACCTGTCAGATAGCTGTAAGACAACCTCACGGTAGGTAACTATTCCATGCGTCTCCGTGCGTTGCTATGCTGAAAACAATAATAAAGAAAAAACATAGAGCGCATGGAACAACCGGGCAACGACCACAATTTCGTAAAATAGACATTTAAAAATATTTTCAGCCATTTGAATTACATCTGATCGTTTAGTGGAAATTTCGAAAGTTTTCCCTTAGCCTAGTTTCAAAATTTTACTCTCCAAAAAAAAATATTACAACAAACACGCCAACATAGTAGCAAAATTTAGTTCTATTCCTTTTTTCATTTTTTTTTTAGTTTAACGGTGATGAATAAACAACATACGGTGAGAACCGGACACAATTTCATTGCTTGTTTTTATTCATGTCGTCCCGACAAGATAAAAGTAGCGTTTCATACTTAAAAATTCATTTTCATTTCTTCCTCGATGATTTTTTGTACGAAAATGCATCCTTTGCTGCTGTCAAAAACAGAATTGCACGGTTTATACTTTAGATGTGAAAATGATAAAAAAGAGGAAATCTATATAATTCCATGGCGGAATTTATAACAAACTCCAAAAGTTTTTATTTTCTTGGCAAATCCACCGAAAGATTCAGTGTCGCTGTGGGTCTCATATCTCTTCAAAGATCATCTGATTTCCACATACTCTAGAAGATTCGAAGTACTTATTAAGCCAATATAATAAATACGCTTTTTCAGAAATATATATAGTAGCGCTCCCCTTATATGAACTATTATTGGAGCATAATATGTAAAGTAAAGCTTTTGTTACGTTTATACATTTTGAATAAAATATGTTTGGATATGTCTTAATAAATGCAGTGCATAAAACAGACGAAATACGATCGTTGTTTATCAAAAGCGCAACGAAAGCTCATGGTTATAAAAATAGTCTCCAAAAGAACGTATACCGAAGACAATTTATTACCAACAACAAACTTGATTTTCACATCTCCAATTTATTCCTTATTTTCAGGTATGCCAAGTTTCTTCAGGCATACCAATTTCTTACAATATAAAAATGCATTCACAGGTTTACCTGAGACGCAACGGCCACAGTAATGGTCGTTCTAGTCACTATTACATGAAGGGGTTTAAATTGTTCAAATTCAATTTTTTCCAATACATAAAAAGCTGATGGTCGTGAAAGACTCGTTTTACAAGAAACTGATATTAGAAATTGTCAATATCTAATATTATTGCCACTTTTTGTACAAATATTAGAATAATAATTGCTGTAAACTTACGGAAAGCAAAACAAAAAAAAAAAAAGAAAAACTTGTTCTATTTAAAAAAAGCGGTTTTGTCGCCTTTTTAAGTATGTTTTTAAACACGTTTTGTGCTCGAGTAATGTTGCACTGTAGATGATTCTTTGGTCGATTTGGCCTCATTTTAAATGCCGATCTACTTGTAAGAACTTCAGACGTTGTTGCCTAATTTGCTGCCGATATTGTAATATTAGCTTGAGGAAAAAGAAATCCATTATTTTTTCGGTAGATGGCTGCACTGATAGATTTCTCGTAAAGTATCGATCAAACAATTTCCGATACTGTACATTTACATACTGTACATTTCGCAGTAAAAAAAATTATTTTGCTGTTTTTTGTTTGGTGCATTCATTTGTGAGTTATAGCGTGTTAAAAATGGAAGTGAACAAAGAGAAAATTCGGTACATTTTACAGTTTTTCTTTGATAAAGGCGAAAATGCAAGCCAGGCGGCTAAAATTGTGAATGGTGTTTATGGTTCCGATACTGTAACAGCCAATTATGTGCAATTTTGGTTTCGTAGATTCCGTTCAGGAATTTTTGATGTTAAAGATGCACCTCGCACAGGTAGGCCGGTCGTCGAAAATGTCGATAAAATCGGAGAAATGATCGAAGTTGACCGGCATGTTAGCCCAGGAGCTAAAAATCGACCATAAAACAGTATTAAACCATTTACACAAAGCTGGATTCAAAAAGAAGCTCGATGTTTGGGTGCCACACCAATTAACAGAAAAAAACATGATGGACCGAATTTCCATCTGCGAAGCCTTGGCCAAACGGAATGAGATAGACCCATTTCTTAAACGGATGGTGACTGGAGATGAGAAATGGATCACATACGATAACCCTGTGCGAAAACCATCGTGGTCAAAGAGTGGTGAAGCACCTCAAACGGCCAGGAAGGTTTTGCTATGCATTTGGTGGGACTGGAAGGGGATTATTTATTATGAGTTGCTTCCATATGGCCAAACGCTAAATTCTGATCTCTACTGTCAACAA